GGAGATGTATTTTTGATATTTTTTGTCCCTGAGGTCCTCGGTGTTTGTCATGGCCTGTTCTAACCATTCTTGATAAGCAGGGTTGTCCTCAGGTTCTTTCATGTCAGGTGTCTCTGACTTTGACGATTCATCCTCTCCTTCTCTTTCTGAATCCCTTGTTTCAGATTCATCACTAGATTCTACAACTCTTTGCTTTTTAGAGGGTGGTTCGGAGATATCATCTTCACTAGTTTCTTCACCAGCGTTGGAATCTTTAGTCTCGTACCCATGATCTTTCATATCAGGATGTACATTCTGTCCGTGCCTCTTCATGTCGAACTTGCGACTATAGCAAGCGTAACGCTTGGACATATCGAAAGTGTTCGTGTTGACTCGTTGATGTTTAAATCGGATTTGATTCAAAGGAAATTGAATCTTTATAATTATAGTTTGTCATTTGATATATTTTGTTATTTGATACGTAACGCCGTAGATAACGTCGTAAATCCGTAATGTAACGCCGTAAATCCGCAGTCTAGCGCCGTAACATTCCGTAACGCCGCAATGTAACGCCACAACGCCGTATCGTATTATACACAACGCATTTGACGGATCATTCAGCTTTATGCTTCATCACCAACTTTTCTAGAGCACCCACTCTCTATTTGAGGTCTAACATTCTATTATTAACTATTATTCATCTCAGCTTCATGATCAATCAACGTCTTTTTTTAGAACATCCAGTCTATTGCTCATATGGCACACGTTCTTTTGTTGCATCTCCCCTGTATACCCCTTCCTCCTTCTCCTTCGAGAAGAAAAAAAAAACTTCGAGAATAATTATGTAACAGAGATTTTACGGTATTACATGCAAGAAGAATGCGATCCAGTTAGTGAACTTTTTCATCTTCAAAATGATGACTTTATGGTGATAACACAAACTATGGACAATGAACTTGTGGTTCAAATAAGGACGTATGACAATATTTGGGAATCTCAAAGGTACAAATTAATTTGTACCATTCAACAAAGTCAACTCGATAGGTTAAATGCACGGTTAAACTAACTGATCATGCTGAAGGAAAGAATGGAAAAGAAGAAGTAGTAAGTCACATTTGCTTTATAGCAACAGGAATAAAGACATAATTATCTACTCACATGTAATACCGTAAAATCTCTGTTACATAATTATTCTCGAAGTTTTCTTTTTTCTTCTCGGAGGAGAAGGAGGAAGGGGTATACAGGGGAGATGCAAAAAAAAAAGAACGTGTGCCATAAAATAATGTGACTTGGGTTCTATTTCTCTAGTTAAAAATGTTTTGTATATTTTATCTCTGTTCACTAGTTGCATGACTAAATTACAGTTCTTATCTTTGTATTCAAATCTTGTTTGATGATGTTTTGAGAGAGTCCAAACATAGCCCTGAACTATATATCAAAGTGTTGTGTGAAAGTCCAAAGAACTCGGCGGTATGAACAGGTCGGAGTAAAACAAGCTACATTTGTCGAAAGTCTGTTGAGAGGTTCATTAACTCAATACACGATCAATTAGAAACAACGGTTCTATTGCTGAAAAGAGGTAATTCAAATACAAAAGACACTAGGCCTACCGGTATACAAAATCAATACCCTTTACACATATAGGCTACAATATGCTTCCCCGCGTTGCCATGCGAGGATCACAGTAAGATCGAACAATAGATATTGATCCAACCTACAACGGCGTTGTAAACGTTCCTTAGCAAGTCAAACACAAAGTATACCGGTAGAAAGAAAGTCAAAAAGTCAAAATTCCATAGACACTCGTGTTAAAAGTCAGTTCCACAAATAAAATACCTATCATGCACTTTTCAAAACGTCAATAATTCCTAAAAATCTTTAATTAAAATTCAAAATGTCAAAATTCACATAGAAACACGTTTTGTAAGATACATTTTGCTCGAAAAAAAACTAAGTCCAAAATAAAAAAAAAATCCCTAAGTAAAATTCATAAAGTCACAATCACAATGACACGCGTGTTATAAGTCAGTTTTTATCCAAGTCCAAAATGAGAAATCCCTAATTAAATTCGAAAAGTCAAGACCTCGTCAAAACCCCATAGACACGCGTGTTATAAGTCATTTTTTTCTCGAAAAAATGTCAAAGTTAATGTACACGAGTCAATTAGAAATAGTATAAGTACGAACAAATTCGTGAACAAAACCTATGGCCGTCCCGGAACTCACTGCTATAACTACTCACTGTCCTACTTGTAGCTACTTGGATCTTGGATCTTGGATCTTGGATTATTTTCCTCCTAAATATTCCGAAGAAGAGTTTTGCCTGGAGGTGGGGGAGGGTGGACGATTACATTTTGGAAAAAAAGTTCTTTAGTAACTGCATTTTTAAATGAGAGCGGGGAGGTTTGGTCGATGGTTGCTTGTTGTAGGTTAATGTCAAAGTTAATGTACACGAGTCAATTAGAAATAGTACGAAAATATTCGTGTACAAAACCTATGGCCGTCCCGGAACTCACTGCTATAACTACTACATTGTGACTTTAATACGATTAATTTCGACGTCTCTACAGAGACTTTATTATATAATGTCATACTTTGAGTATATTTCATATTATGTTCTAATTTTGTCATTTATGGGAAGTTCTGTTTTGTAAAATAAACTTGAACTTGAAAATTACCCCAAGTTGGCCGGTGAAAATACATTAAACTAGAAATATCGCAATATGCATTGCCGTGCAATGCGAACGTATCCCCCGGCATGCAGTGGCAGCGATTTTTGTGTCATCCTTATGTTCGAAGGTGGAAACAAAATGATGACGTATAGATCGCCACTAGTATTTTTCTGACAACGAATGATAAATAAGCAAATATATATAACAATATTATTGTTATTATCAAAAATGATATAATAAACTGTCATGACTGCTAAATTTCCTCAAACATTATATCACTATTTGCGGAAGAAGGACTTTCATTTTAAGCAGATTGCTTGATAATACGACAGCCCGAGACAAAAGTCATGAAACAGATTAACACTTTTATTAAGCAGAACGGATAGATAATTGAATATACGAATTTTAATGACGATGATATTGACAATGCAGATGCGGATGATGATGAAGATGATGAAGATGATGATGATGATGATGATAATGATAATGATTCGAATGAAAGAAGAGATGATATTATGATATTACAGAAATTTTACCTTGAATATTCTCCGTTCTAATTACTAAATGTGTTAATATATTTCTCTCAAATCTCATTATTGGTGGAAATGTCAATTTGTTATATGGGGCTATGCGATCTTTACATCCGTGCACATGAAAATTGGTTTCCTTTCCAGCTAGGTTGACCCCTGGCTCCCGGACTATGTGGGCGGCATCACCAAGATACACCTCCATACAAATTTGAAAGAAATCCGTGAAGGAATGTGGCAGTTAGAGCGCACACAAGAATATGAAGTGGCGGACGCTGCTGAATCCAAAGTACTGCCGGGGGATAAAATTAACTATATTACACACCCTTACCAAGTTTGTTATTTTCAAAGCGTGTGAAAAATAGAGTTTTCTCGATTTTGTTTATTGAGAATGTGACATATTAAAGCTTACATTCAAGTATTCAAGAAAGACACGAAATGTATAAGAGGTATGAATAATTAAGTTGCTGACTGTAATGGCCATTTTGTTAGTTCATTGTACATCAATTATTTGTTTTACACTGTCGGGGACTAATTGGCCTGTGTTTATTTGAGGTAGCCATGTTGGACAGCAAACGAAGATAAAACTTTAATTTGAATATAGGTTACATGCTTTCAGTTCTAGCTAATGGAAAGTAAAAGTACACAGAAAACCCCCAGACTTACTCTTAATTTCCAGCAAAACTAAGTTATATTTGCCAAACCATCTACTTTGAAAACGAGTACCTAAATGTAGAATAGTAGAAATCCACTCTATTAGGACCGGATCCATTTGTTTTAGAGTGGAATCCATTCTAAATTATAGTGAAATCATTCTAAACGAGTTATCTGTATTACTATTTTGAGAGGATATCCCTACTATGTTCATGTTTGAGCGTTGATATCCATTCGACATGAAATGATACATTATATGGATCCTAAAATATGGATGTCCACTCTTGTTGATTTAGAGAGTTTTTAAGATATGCAACGTTTATAAATCGCCTATTAAAGGCCCATTGCACTACTTGCAGCTACGTGCGCCCTCTATATAACAAACAATGCCTAATCGGTGACCATTGGTCCCCCATAATCCTCTTTTTCTTATGTTAACTGAGAGCAGAGTTCATGAGATAACCACCTGTCCAGTGACCTTGCAGGGCAGTCTAATCCCTCCTGTAAACTACGGCAGATATAAGCTTTAAATTATAAGATAACAGGAATGAAATGAAAGAGGGAGAGAAAGAGATATGGGATCATTTAGCTTTCTTTATATGGTTTCTTCCCTGCTTTACCCAACCCCTCTGCCCACCTTTGAACCTCCTCTACTCTATTGATCCTAGTCGTATAAACTTTTGCACGGTGTACCGTCCCCACTAAAAGCTATGACTCTGGTTTTCATTATAGCCTTCGACCATGACTGTAATGTCTATGATTTTTATTATTATTATTATTATTATTATTATTATTTATTATTATTATTATTATTATTTTTTTTTTTTTTTTTTTTTTTTTTTTTTTTGGGGGGGGGGGGGGGGAGGGGGAGGGGGGTATTCGATTTGTTGATTTATATACCAGTGAAAAACAAACAGGTAATATAAATGCGAAGGCTACTGGTTAGGAGGTGGGGAAGGTGGTCCAAAATGTCCAAGTTGTCCTCATTTTTACTTTTTCAATGCATTTTCTTTTTTTTCTTCAAGCTTTTCTTTCTTTTTCATTCTTTCATCATTTGAAGGGGTGGGGGACGCACCCCGTGCTTCCTGTGTATACGCCACTGTGTATTAATGTAATTAATTTTCTTTTCTTCAAATGATTATCGTAAATGTACTATTATTTTTTCACAGCATGGATCAGGAATAGAATCTATCACTGTTCAGAATAGTCCGTCCTACATCAACATTTCTTGGGCGACAGCAGCAGGGTCATCATGGGACTACTACACTGTGGATGTTATCAAATCATCCCAAAGAAGCGTGGGTGGATATCCAACCAACACCATCGACACGACACATCTGATAACCGGACTCAAACCTGAAGAACAATGCACAATAGTTGTCACACCATGGACTACTGAGGGCGCTGGACGTTCATTGAATATAACCGTTACTACAGGTAACGCAATTGTGCACTTTTGAAGGAAGTAATTTTAATAGATAACATCCGGTTCCCCCGAAGGAAAGTCCCAAACCCCGCACAAAGACCCAAAACCAAACAAAAAACTAAAACAAAAACATTAATATATATATATATATATATATATATATGCATAAATATATATTTACTTCATAATTTGATAAGATTCCTGTTGTTTTTATTTCTTCATTTCAATGTCCTTCGTATTTTTCCCCTTCTGCCATTCGTCATGTTCTTATTCGAACACATAAGCCCGAATTCACAAAGCAAGGTTTGAGCTCAGACCAAGGTATGAGCTCAAACCTCCTTTTGTTTCGCCAAACCTCCTTTTGCTCTTTTCAAACCAGGTTTGTAAAAAACGCGTAAAACGCGTCATATGACGTACGAAAACCAAGGTTTGTCGACAAACCTCCTTTGTGAATTCGGGCCACAGTGTGTAGCAGCAAAATGTTAGATATATGTACAGTATGTAAAAAGATAGTCAGTTAGTATACATGCTGTATATCATTGGTTATTTTCTAGAGGCAATTGCTGAAGGAGAGATATTGGTGTCTGATGTTACGTCATCATCGGCTTTTATCCAATGGAAACCTGTCGCTGGACTCTTCTTCTATGGCATGGAGGCTGAACCAAGTGATGCCATTGAGGATACAGGGGGTATCTTTGAAGCTGAGGTCGGACTGACCATTCTACTTCCAGGAACAGTGTTTACCGTGACTTTAAGAGGTGGTAGTCCAGTCATGGACCTGGCATCAACGCAAATAAGAAGCGGTAAACGACAATAACTTGACACGTTATTATCTTAACATTAACATTCAATTATAAAATCAATTTTTAAAAGTGAGTTGAAACATAAACGCCGGGTTAAACTTTTTTTCTTCTAGATATATGAGAATTGCCAACAATTCTTTTTTACATATAGTATTCATCATTTCCTTTCAAAGCATTTATCAATTGTTTAGAATTGTCCATCCTCATTCTCATCCGCAGTTTTGAACAGAACCATTTTATGTCGTATTATAAGTAACATTACTCGTCAAATTGTATGGTTACGCACCACCCGTTATCTCATTACAAACGTCGGATTCTAAAAATAATTTTATTTTGGTTCAACACCCGTGAGTCCAATGAGTGTTATTCTTAATGGTCGGGTGAAATCCAAATGTAAATTTATTCCTGTTGATGTGCAGGGCTGCATACAACTCATATTTTGTTATTCAAACATCTAAGTATATTTCATAGATTTTGTAATATTTGTTAAAATAATTTTCTCAGACCTGCTAAGCTCCACCCTAAAAAATGCTCCAGATCTCATTCATCTTGTGACATCATTTGTCAATAATGCGTGAGCTAACACGGAACAATGCTATGTAACTTTCCCCAGCTCAGCACAAGCTCACAAAGGAATTGCATTCTTTCATATACCTCCCAATAACCTTTCTTTTCTTGGTGATGCTACAGCACGTCTGACATAGCAACTCCTATGTTGGTATTGTATGGCCTATTGTAAACATGTGGTCAGCTCTGGTGAAGCTTCCCGACCCCCCCCCCCCCCCCCCCCCACCTACTCCGTGAACGGAGGGATTTCCTTGCGTGTTACAATGTCCGGTAAAGGGGTACTTTTCACGCACCAAAGTCCGGCTCGTAGTACACAAAACCCGGCCCGTATTGACTTTACACACCGGACTTTGGGGGTGTTTTCAAAAGGAGGGACACATGCATTATGCGTACCCTAAATAACACTGAGTGGGAGGTGGGGGGGGGGGGCGAAGCTTCATTCCAACGTATCTATGAAATATATTTCAATGTTTGAATAACAAAATATGTGTTGTAATACAGCCCTGCACATCAACAGAAATCAACTTCCTATTTGGATTTCACCCCAACTTTAAAGTAACGAATACGACCGAAGCAAATCTCACTCTACGATTTTCAAATGAATTTATTTTCGTTTTGTAGCACCCGAGAGTCCAGTTAACGTTTCTCTTAAAGAAATTGGTACGACTGAAGCGACCCTCTCCTGGACCCCTCCGACCAGCCCACATGACGCATACGAGTTCTACGTCATTAATAATTCAACCAATGAGAGATCACCCACTACAACTAAACAGCGTGGTGACGTCAGTGATAACGAGGTGACGTTGACTGGTCTCTCTCCTGCTACCATCTATTCATTTGGAGTTGGATCTGTATTGAACGCCATGGATTCCTTCGGATTGCAGAGGAGTGGTCAAGATGATAACCCGACAGTGTACGGTCGAACTGGTAAGCAAATTTGAAAATTGACCTACAGTAATTAACGAGGTTTCGATCGAACCGCACCAGAGATGTATTCTCATTTTAGTGAAAATGCATCCCACCTATATAATTTAAGGAGCTTTTAAAAACGTTGATTCTCCCGCTATTCAGAGTGGTAATGTCACTCCTGGCTTGTCAGTTGCATAAGGAACCTCCTCTTAAAATTAGCTTTAAAGGTACTATGTCCTATTTGTAGGCCAACACAAATGAAAAGGTCAAATTCCAACGGCATTTCAAAGATAATACTAATTTAGAATTTCCCTAAAAAAAGGGCGGCTTGAAAATGTCTTATCTTATTTCTATAACGTACGAAAACATAAGTATAAAATGAAAAAGTATGAACCGGCAGAAGAAGACAAATTTCAATCATATAACATGTCATTTACTTCTCTTATCTGACTGTCAAGCATAGGTATTCCTTTAATTTCCTCTTAAAATGAGCATAGTTTTCTATTTCCTTTACACCATTGAGAAGGGAATTCCAATGTTTTATGGCATTGTAATAAAACGAATTTCCAATACTACCTTCTCTTTCTGGTAAGTTAAAGTTGAATCGGCTATTTCTTGTATTATAATAATGTAAGTCAGTAACAAGATCAAAGTTGGATCGAATATAATAATTCGACCTAGTATGATATATTTTATGCACGTGATGCAATACGAGTTGTTTTGATCTTTGGTCGTCTTCAAGAAAACCAGCTTTAGAAAGTTCGCTGTAGCCAACATGAGTTCTTGGACCAGAATAGTTGATAAATCTCACCATTTTGTTCTGTATAATCTTCTACTTCTTTTGATCTGACTTGTTTATGTTACTATACTATGCAGGGTTAGCATAGTCAAATAAACATTGAATAAGAGCAAAACAGAGTGTACGTCTTGCTTTTAAATCCATACAACTTTGATACCTGTACTAACATTTCAGACGAGAATTTGCTTTTTTTTACAACTGATTCTACTAAAGATGAAAATGAAATTGCGCTAGCCAACTCAATGCCTAAATACTTCACAGAATCTTTTCTCTTGATTACTTGATTATTGTGTGTCACTTTGAATTCAAATGACTTTTTAGAACTACTTTTAGAACAAAACAAAATGCTTTCTGTTTTTCCCCAAGTGTAAAGAAAGCTTATTATCAGTCATCCAATCGACACACGTAGACAGCTGTTCACTGAGCTTTTCCTCAATATATTTAGGATCAGGATTTGAATAGAGTAGTACGCTGTCATCTGCGTACAGTAATAGTTTAAAGTCTTTTATACAAATACACATATCATTTATATAACTTGAAAATAGAATTGGGCCTACAATGCTTCCCTGAGGAACACCGCATGTTATAGGCATTAGTTTGGAACGAATATCATGAATGGCCACTACTTGGTGTCGATTAGATAAGTAGGATCTGAACCAATCTAAACTTGCCTTATTAAAACCCATTAGTTGTAACTTCTTCAATAAGACGCAATGATTAACTGTATCAAAAGCTTTTTGCAGATCAAGGAGCACCATACCAACAAAGCGCTCTTGGGAAGTTTCTGTCCTTAAATAATCAGTCAAATGAATTAGACATGTTTCAGTCGAATAATCATGTCGAAAACCAGATTGAAATTCATAAATTATATCATTTTCTTTGAAGTATCTTTCAATTTGAACACAGACCGATTTTTCTAGAATCTTTGATGCTACGCTTAAAACACTAATAGGTCTATAGTTGCTAACATCAGTTTTATCTTTCTTTTTATAAAGTGGAGTCACTTTTGCTATTTTCATATCCTCTGGAAAAGTACTCGTCAAGATAGATAGGTTCTTTAAGTAACTTAGAGGCTTAAATAAAACCTTCGCACCATCTTTTAGGAATTTAGCTGGAATCATGTCTAAGTCCAGGGGCGGCAATCCCGGGGGGGGGGGAGAGGAAGGGGGACACGTCCCCCCTCAATTTTGTTTAGGGGGGATCGCCCCCCCCCCCTCAAAATTTGAAAAGCGCAAAAAAAATGTATAGCAAATACTGACTAAATACTGCAACTCACATTTGGGCTCTGGAAGGCCCAAGAGTGCAGTGTTTAGACAAATAAAAATGCAAAAATCTTCTCACTCGGGAGCTACGCTCCTTCGCATAATATCCTTCAAAATGTTCAAGTAAATGCCGAGAAAAGTGAAGTGTGAACAAAGTATAGGCCTATTGCTTGTTTTTAACAATAGTTTTGCTAAGATTGTAATTTTGTAATACAACAAAACTTCAAAAACCTGTGAGGGGGTAGTTACTTCCGTTACGTCACCCCTCTCATTCACTATTGCTCCCTCGCACTTGCGGGGGGCTTTGGAGGCAGTTCCCCCCAAATGAAATTCAAACGTGGTTTATTTCTAATTCGATACCAGTGATTTACATAATGTTGCTGAAATGGCATGATAATTCCCTGAGCTTCCGGGGGCTTTGCCCCCTGGACCCCACCAAGGACCCGAAGGCGGGTCGCCTTGTTGCTCATCTGACCGTAAATAAATGCCTAAAACGCCTGAGCTTCCGGGGGCTCTGCCCCCTGGACCGCACTCCAATTAGTGACATGCGTGCCAGTGTCACAAATAAGGTATCAAGATATGCTCATCTGACCGTAAATATATGCCTAAAACCCTTGAGGTTCCAGGGGCTCCGCCCCTGGGTGCTCACCTGACCTTAATAAATGCCTAAAACCCCTGAGCTTCATGGGGCTCCACCCCCCCCCCCCGCCAATTTTTTTTTTTTTGCTCATTTCGCCACTCGTCCCTCACATTTCGTCTCCCCGGTCATGAAAAGAAATCGCCGCCCCTGTGTCTAACCCAGTACTTTTGGAAACATTCAACTTACGTAACTCTTTGAAAACAAATTGTTCACTGATTGGTAATAACTCGAAGCTGTTTTCACGTAAACCTTTCCTTTCGTAAAAATCACGAATACAATCATTGTCTGCGCTGAAAAAGTCTTTGGAAGGCGGGGGGGGGGGGGGTCGTCTACTAATTTGGCAGCCACATTTATGAAATGAGAATTGAATTCATCAGCGAAGGCCATCTTATTATGACATAATTCCCCATCAATTTTAATGACAGATTCTTGTTCTTTTCGCTTCTTATTTTTTTTAACCCTAAGCTTTTTAGATTCTGCCAAAGCCTTTTCGAATCTTGTTTATTTTCTTTTTTCTTGTTTTGTAAGTAATCGAGTTAAGCCTTTTTCACCTCTCTTTGGACCATATTTCTTAATACTCTGTATCTTTATAAAGCGTCTCATCTTTTGCTCTTTTCTTCAATTTTTTGTATACTATATTTCGCTCTTGAATTAGGGAAAGAATGTTCTTAGTCACCCAAGTTTTTGATCTTTGTTTTATTCTAATCCGTTTCAGTGGCGCTATCATATTCAAATTTGAGATAAAAACATGTTGAAATACTGACCATGCCTCATTTACATCTGTACAGTCAGTTATTCCTGACCAATCAACAACAGATAGTTGAAGATTGAAAGACTCTTCTGTATATTTTTTCATGGATCTGATATCATTAGTCCTGTGATGACCTATAGCCAGTCTAATATTTTTCCGTGTACAGAAAGTAAAAGAATGGTCGCTAATACCTAGATCAATGACACCACTTTGACTTATTTTGTTTTCTTTGGTACAACCAACATGATCCAGTAGAGAAGAACATGTAGGTGTAACGCGTGTTGCCTCTTTAATGAGTTGACTAAACCCGTGAAGACTCAACAAGTCAATATATTTTTTAGCCAGTGGCGATTTGTGAAGAAGACAAATATTCGTATCTCCTAAACGAATTATTTCTTCATCCTTCTTTAATGTATCAAGAATATTGGACAATTTCTCGATAAACAAGTTGTTTTTCGGAGGTCGATACAGAACGCCAACAACAATTGGTTTTGATCTTGGTATTAGAAAATTTATCCACAGGGATTCTGTATCTCCAGTACTTATAGCATCCATAATATTAAATGCAATATAATTTCTGATATAGAAACATACACCACCTCCAGAGCCAGAGGATCGATCATGGCGTATGATTTTATATCCGTCTATTTCAATTTCTTCATCATTTATGGAATTGTTTAACCATGTTTCAGTGAAAGCAATAATAGACAGCATTTTTCTTTTAAAAAAGAATTCTAAGTTCCGATGTCTTGTTTAGGATAGACCTCACATTAAGGTGTAAAAAAGGAAGACCTTTAACTTTAAACTTTTCTTCAAATTCTTGATAAAGAGAAGTGTTTTCATCTCTGAGGTTTGGCTGAATTATTCTTGCTATCGCTTGCTTTTCAGGTGTAACGCGCGTTACCTTAAAATAGTTTTCTTTTAGTCTATCCTCACTTTGGCTTTCTTTTTCTAGACAATCGTCAGTAAATAATGAGTCACAAAAAGATGACAGACAACATGTTAAACAATTCCACTTCTCATCAGGGCATTCATAATATAACCTGCGGTACTCTGAAAAACTGATAGCTTGACAATTAGTGTGAAACCATTTTTTACAATTAGAACACAGAAGGCCGTGTTGATTATATTTAACTGGTTTTTCACAGTTCCCACAAGGAAACTTATATTTCCGACCGCCAACTATAATTTTCGGATCATCACTTGATTTTGTCAAACTTTCACTTAATTCAATACCTTTCTTCAAATAGAATCTATCACTGTTCAGAATAGTCCGTCCTACATCAACATTTCTTGGGCGACAGCAGAAGGGTCATCATGGGACTACTACACCGTGGATGTTCTCAAATCATCCCAACAAAGCGTGAATGGATATCCAACCAACACCACCGACACGACACATCTGATAACCGGACTCAAACCTGAAGAAAAATACAAAATAGTTGTCACACCATGGACTACTGAGGGCGCTGGAAATTCATTGATTAAAACCGTTACTACAGGTAACGCAATTGTGCATTATTGAAGCAAGTAATTTTGAAGAAAACACCCGGTCCCGGGACCCGGTCCCTCCAAAGGAAACCCCAACCCCGCACAAAGACCCAAAACCAATATATATATATATATATATATATATATATATATATATATATATATATGTATGTATAAATATATATTTACTTCATAATTTGATAAGAATCCTGTTGTTTTTATTTCTTCATTTCAATGTCCTTATTTTTCCCCTTCTGCCATTCGTCATGTTCGTAGTGAAATGTTTACAATCTTATTCGAACACACAGTGTGTAGCAGCAAAATGTTAGATATATGTACAGTATGTAAAAAAGATAGTCAGTTAGTATACATGCTGTATATCCTTGGTTATTTTCCAGAGGCCATTGCTGAAGGAGAGATATTGGTGTCTGATGTTACGTCATCATCGGCTTTTATCCAATGGAAACCTGTCGCTGGACTTTCCTTCTATGACATGGAGGCTGAACCAAGTGATGCCATTGAGGGTACAGGGGGTATCTTTGAAGCTGAGGTCGGACTGACCATTCTACTTCCAGGAACAGTGTTTACCGTGACTTTAAGAGGTGGTAGACCAGTCATGGACCTGGCATCAACGCAAATAAGAAGCGGTAAACGACAATAACTTGACACATTTTTATCTTAACATTAACATTCAATTATAAAATCAATTTTTAAAAGTGAGTTGGAACATAAACGCCGGGTTAAACTTTTTTTCTTCTAGATATATGAGAATTGCCAACAATTCTTTTTTACATATAGTATTTATCATTTCCTTTCAAATCATTTATCAATTGTTTAGAATTGTCCATCCTCATTCTCATCCGCAGTTTTGAACAAAACCATTTTATGTCGTATTATAAGTAACATTACTCGTCAAATTGTATGGTTACCCACAGGCCACCACCCGTTATCTCATTACAAAAAAATAATTTTATTTTGGTTCAACACCCGTGAGTCCAGTGAGTATTATGCTTAATGGTCGGGTGAAATCCAAATATAAATTTGGTCCTGTTGATGTGCAGGGCTGCATACAACTCATATTTTGTTATTCAAACATCTAAATATATTTCATAGAAAATAATTTTCTCAGTCCTGCTAAGCTCCATCCTAAAAAAAAATGCTCCAGATCAAATTCCTCTTGTGACATCATCTGTCAATCATGAGTGAGCTAACATGAGACAATGGTATGGAACTTTCCCCAGCCTAGCACAAGCTCACAAAGGAATTGCATTATTTCATATAATACCTCCACCTTATCTTTTTTTTCCTGGTGATGCTACATCACGTCTGACATAGCAACTCCTATTTTGGTATTGTATGGTCTATTGTAAAAAGGTGGTCAGCACTGGCGAAGCTTCATTCCAACGTCTCTATGAAATATATTTAGATGTTTGAATAACAAAATATGAGTTATAATGCAGCCCTGCACATCAACAGAAGTCAACTTTATATTTGGATTTCACCCCAACTTTAAATTAAAGAATACGACCGAAGCAAATGTCACTCTACGATTTTCAATTGATTTTATTATCGTTTTGTAGCACCCGAGAGTCCAGTTAGCGTTTCTCTTAAACAAACTGGTACGACTGAAGCGACCCTCTCATGGACCCCTCCAACCAGCCCACATGACGCATACGAGTTCTACGTCATCAATAATTCAACCAATGAGAGATTACTAATTCCAAATAAACAGCGTGATGACGTCAGTGAAAACGAGGTGACGTTGACTGGTCTCTCTCCTGCTACCATCTATTCATTTGGAGTTGGATCTGTATTGAACGCCACGGATTCCTTCGAATTGCAGAGGAGTGGTCAAGATGATAACCCGACAGTGTACGGTCGAACTGGTAAGCAAATTTGAAAATTGACCTACACGAATTAATGAAATTTCGAGCGAACCGCACCAGAGATGTATTCTCATTTTAGTGAAAATGCATCCTACCTATATAATTTAAGGAGCTTTTAAAAACGTTGACTCTCCCACTATTCAGAGTTGTGATGTCACTTTCGGCTTGTCAGTTGCATAATGAACCTCCTCTTAAAATTAGCTTTAAAGGTACTATGTCCTATTTGTAGGCCAACAAAAATGAAAAGGTCAAATTCCAACGGCATTTCAAAGATAATACTAATTTAGAACTTCCCTAAAAAAAGGGCGGCTTGAAAATGTCTTAAAGTGGGAAAATAACGTTTATTAGTTGTCGAATCGACTTAAGAGCTATAGAGCCAGTAAGTACTAATAGACTGATTTTCCCGGGATCGCCGCCCCTGACAATACTTCAGATTTACGTATACTGCCATCTGTTGCTGAAAATGCACCTTGAGCTTCGGGGGCTCCGCCCCCTGTCCCCACTTTGAAAAACGTTCAGCGGGGCCTGCAATTAAGAGTGGGGGGGGGGTGCAGATTTGCTCATTACGCCACTGACAGCAGCATAAACAATATATACATTTAAGGATACAAAGAAAACACAACAATAATAGAAATAATAACAATAACAAAACTGACATGTAAATTTAAAAATGGCATTAAAAATTGAAGATACCCCCAAGTTGAGGGTGGAACTCTTTTTACATATTGTACCCCTAATTGGTTTGTGCACACACGTACAATAATTGTCCGTTGGTCCGTTTGCAGGTAAAATTGTCCAGGAAAAGAATATGTGTACGTCTTTCCTATTTTAGTTTATCGTGTTGATTGGGAAAGATAGAGTTGTTTATTAAGGGAAATTAACAAAAGTGTGATGGAAAGATTTTGTGGGTTTTATCTGTAGCCACTGAAGTAAACACACATCTCTCTCTATATCGTTCAAAAAGGGTTGATCATTCAGATATGCCACGTCAAACCGCGATGGTTTTAAAATACAAATGTGTACATTAATGGCAAGTATGCGCAACAAGGTTACCACGTGTATACACTTATCGCTATAATTTAAAGGTAAAGATCAGTTCTGGTCATGCGATTGCACTGTGAAAGAAACATCGTGGAATCGATCAGAAAAGGTTGATCATCTAGCATTATAAGTATAAGTGTGTACTCCAAGGTTCTGGAATCATCAAAATAATAAGAAATTTGGCCCAGTCTTGGTAAAGTTACAGCACTGTACGCAGAAAGATGTATATAGGACTACGCGACCCGTGCTTGACACGTGCGCGATATCTATTTGGTCCTAACAGATATAATAATTTACCAAATATATCAATTAGTAGGCGGTTTCCCGGCAAAATTTGTATCATCATGTATTAGTCAAAACATGTTCTTCCACATGATTGGTGATAAGAGCTTCCATTTCATTTTTTGAGAGGGGGCGTTTCCAAAACTGGTCTTTACCTTTAAGATAAAGGAATATCAAGAGTGTTACACTTACGTCATAAAAAAACAAACAAAAAACAACAACAACACAACAAAATGGCCGTTTACCAGAGAACGAGGCTTAATGGTAATCTAATGGTCCATATTTTCCCCATACCTATAGGACCAGAGGCTCTGCAGAGGATCGAGTTAATCGCTGTCAGCGACGATTCTGTCACGGTAATGCTGACACCCCCAAGAAGCCGCCATAATGGATACGAGCGCTTCCTCTTCAATCCACCCACCACTGATTCACCACGTATCACGACCATACAGAGAGAAGACGACATGACTTACATCTGGACGGAGTCTGGGTTATCACCTTTTAACGTCTTCACTTTAGAGGTTGGAACGTTTCTCAACGCGGAGGGCCCCTTTCCGATGCAGAAGAGTGAAGATAATCTATCGTGGACGTTCCAAAAGGAGCCCCAAACGGGTAACTTCTGTAATATAACTACTCCTACTCCAACTACTACTGCTATTTCTACTGCAAATACTAACACAAATGATGAAAATTATAAGAATAGTTATCTATCATCAAAACCTGTTTTGCTCTTGATGTAAGGGTTGTTGTGTTGCTATGCTGTATCCAAACTATGAACTTCAAATATCACTTCTCGTCAAGTGTTTAAACCACTCGTCTATGACACCTCTACAAACATTGGTCAATGAAACAAAATATAAGAGTACCCATGGTCGGTTTAAGTTGAATCTGTAAAAGTAAGTTTATTTCAAGTAATGAATGAATGAATGAACTTGAATTTGAAATCATTTCCAAGCAAAATACAATTCAAATCTCTCAAATGTATTTCATAAAGGGATTGCAAATACTCATGGAATGACTAATGACATGAGAATCATTTAGGTTCATTTTCCAACACAATGTTTGCATTATAATGTCTTATTATTATCATATCTTTGACTTAAAAAATATGTGTTATTATTTTACTTCAAGTATATGACAAATACTCACACGAGTTCTTATATATTTTTTTCTCTCCGTTTTGTAGATGACGGTACAGGGAATGCCGTCTCACCTACTCTGCATTACACTCTGCTTATCATCCCTGCACTCCTGGCTGTCTTTCTGGTGTGAAGTCAATGTGACTGTTATCTGTTTACCCCACGCTTTCGCTGAAAAATTTAATGGAGATGGTGTAGATAATTAGAAATGATTTTATGTCACATCCGATTTTGTTGTTGTTGTTGACAGTGTCGGTGTTTATGTCCAGACACCTTTCTCAGACGATTACTTGCAGACTGTAATGAGGTACCAGGGGGCATGCATAGGCCTACCCATTGGCTATCGCCAAAACGTAATTTTTGGCGATCGAAGAACTGGCAGCAAACTTTAGTCTGCTACACACAAGTTTAGACTTAGATAGCGAAAATATCACATAGTAGGTCAATAATTTTGGATGTGTCATAGTACGTTTTTGTAATTCAAAATTAAATCTAATTGTAATGCTAAACAAACAGCTTGACCAAGATGCCCTGTATTAACATTGATTAACAATCACAGAAGACTAGTTGATATTAGGATATGTTACTTGTTTCAATATTAACAAGCACGATTATTAACAAAGGAAATATGAGTATAGAAAATTGTGTATAAATTACATTTAAAAAAAAAAAAAAGTAGATAAGGGAAAAGACAAGGTCATATTTTATTATTAACAATACAGGACTAATACTTCATATCATTCATGATGGAATACGTGAAAATATATTAACGGACACGTTTAGCATGACGTCTGTTTCGAGTCACAAGGGCGTTAATTCTTGAATTTCTTTAAAGTCTTTGACCATTTGTTTTTAATCAAAATATCATAGTGTTATTGCGTATGATGGACTTATGTGGAATCGCTACTTGTCATTTCCAATTTATTAGGGAATTTAAGCAAACGTTATGTAACATTAGTTGTCATCATGAAGTCTAATCATCAGTGATTATGCGACTCTAGTGTTCTTGTTAGGAATTATTGTGGTCTTGTGGACAAGTTACCGGACTATAGATCATTAAGGTCCAAAATCCGAATCCTAGCCACGGCGCTAATGTTATTTGTAGATTTACATTATGTACGTTATCTAAAGGCTTAAATGGCCGAGTTGCTCATTGGCGAGATTTCAAAATAATTTTTATAATTTACCCATTTGTACTATTCATGTTTTGATTCTTGTTAATTCTATGCCAGGTCTACCTCAAACTTTCATGCAGTATATTCTCTTGAAGTTCATGGTTCCACTACAGTGCACCATAGTTTTTATTCATATATAGTCTAACTTGTCATAAATGATATCATACCGGAAGTGAATTGGTATGAAAGGTCATATGAGTTTAAACAGGACGGTGTATAAGGATTGTATGCTAATATTTTTCGTGATACAAATTGAAATGCACAGAAAATATTAGCATACAATCCTTACACACCGTCCTGCTTAACTCATACCCATATGTTTGCCTGTCAACTATATATGTTATTTTGTGGTAGTTTGGCACAACACAAATTAAGAGGATTTGGGGGAAGGGCGGTTTAGGGTAAGGCTGGGCCAAATAACATTAATTTCTAGTTTCTCGTCTCTCCAGCCTTCCCTCGTTAGGTCCGCACCAGTCTGTTATTACTATTTTTCTTATTATTTGATAAGGAATTTGAAATAAAATGAATAAGAATGTGATATCTAGACAACGAGATTCTGAAGAAGATAAGATTTTCCCTTTTTTGTTCCTGCGTACATTAGTGCAACAAACAAACGAGAATGAAGGAACAAAAATGTGTGCGAAATCGACCCCATGGCATTTGTATATTAAGGAAAAATGAATCCCTTCTCCTTGTTTAAATAAAATCGGATTGTTTTAGGAATATTTTTTTACTTGACCCGTGGGAATTATTGGCTTTTGTGATGAAGGAAAATGTAAATTTACTCAGAATTCACTCAGAGGGAAAGACATATTAATGGCAGTTAGTCCCTTTTGCACACTTGTTTAACTTGTTTAAAATATATCTTTCAGATATCATGTGAGAATTTCATCAGTCATAGGTTCTTTGTAAGAAATGAAAATCTAGCACAGTTTTTCATCGTAATAACAGTCGACATAATTTTGAAATACGTACCAAAATTTGTTCAAATTCAGAACATGAATATTTGGAATTAAACATTCAAGACTTATTAGTCTAAAGTTATTTTCTATTTTTGTTTCATTCGCTGGGAGTTTCCTAATAATATACCTCTTCAATATACCACTGGATAAACGGCACTTCAGAGTTTTAGGTCTGCACAAGAGACAACCCACCTTTAAAGCTGTGTGCTTTTCAGTGAATATGTGACCCACTGCTTTCAAGAATTTGTTTCCGGAACTGGAACTCACGATAAGCTGTGCCATATGAATTTGGAAAGAACATAATACAAATGGATGGGGCTACACATTTAAAAATGCTAAGCATCTTATTTTTGTCAATTTATAGTGTACTGAGAAATTATTCAATTGATTTTGCGCTATAATTAAAAGAAAAAATGTGTATGTTTGTCAATTATGCAATATTGATATAATGATATGAATGAAATATGAAAAGAATTGATATCATTTTAACGATATGATATGAAAGCTGTATTTGTATATGTTTTAGAATGCCAAGGGTTTCTATGAAAACTAGTTATTGTATAAGAGTTGTAGATAGTGTGTATCATGGGATAATAATTGCAATTTATATAATTATCGATAAAATGTGCTTCCTACGATGTGTCTGTAGAATATGTCTGTATGAGGTTTAAATATATAACACAGAATGTCTTTCTTCTTCTTGTTCTTCTTCTTGTTATTATCATTATTATCATCATTATCATTGTTATTGTCATTATAGTTATTTTTAGTATGGCTATTTTATACTATTTTTCTTCTTCTATTTGTTTATATCATTATCATTATTATCATTATTGTTGTTATTATTACTGTTACTACTCTGCGAATGATACATAATGAGACCTTTATTACAGCAAGTCATGTCAATTAAATTACAGTCAATGAAATAATAAATACATTTTAGAAGAATATACCTTTTACCTTCTCTTCCCGATCCTTTGCTTGCGTCTACTGAAGTTGACTTTTGGTGAACGTGCGTATCATATTTTCGTTTTTGTTTATAGTATTCACAATGGGGATCAGAAAGCAGTCATAGTGACGATTTGAGCTATTATATAATTTTTGATTTACTTGACCCTCAATCCAAGGGGTGAGGGTTCGAATCCCAGCCCGGCACTATTTGACTTAAAGCTGACCACGGATACGCCTTTATGTTGATTTATCAACCAATTTTTGTAGAGGAGTCATAGTCGAAGGGTTGAAACAATTGATCCCGGTATGGCACTTTTATCCATTGCCAAGATATTAACCCACCTTTGCCACTCTCCACCCAAGTGTTTAATGGTACTCGGTTAGATATGAAAGTAATTGTAGTTTGCTCAGCATTGATTGGAATGTTTCCCAGGGAGCGGAGAATGTGCATACATTGTTTGCGGGCAAGCCTGAATCTCATGTGTTGTTGTTGGTTAGTGTTTTAAGGGCAATCAGTGAATTTTGACGTTCATCACTAACACTTTTTTCTTCTTAATTCTTTTAATTTTTTTTACTTAAATCATATGTAATAATATAGGATTTTCGGGCCAAATTCACGAGTTTGTCATTAAAATTAATTTGTCTTGCGTTCAAATTCAGCGGTTTTAGTGCTGTCAGGTATATACTGGGTTTATATTCCTTTTTCTAGTTTTCAAATCTATGAAGTTTTCCTTAGAATCCTTGTTTGTTTCATTAAAATTAATGAATAATGTGCTTCTTTCCCTATTTGGTCATTCGATTTGGCGCAACACGATTTCTGACATCGCGAAGGTGTACGAATTCATTTGTAGCATTCAAATTAGCGCTTCGTGCTCTTAAATTGATGGTCAATATGCATTTCTCGTTTATTACACACCTTGTATAGCTCATTCTTTTTATTTCATTGTTTTTTTTCATGTGTATTTCGTCATATTTCATTTTATTGCATTTATACCCTTATACTTATTATATTTTTTTGATATTCATCATCTTTTAAGTTTGAATGTTAAAAAAAAAATCGACTTGCATCTATATACGGACTTAATGGTTTCAATATATTTTTACATTTTTAGGTAAGGAAGTTGTTTCTCTTGTGTTTCATCATAATTCTATCATAATTTCATTTTGGAGGAAGGGTACAATATTGTGACTGGGGTAGGTATTTTTATATCCCCACCATTCCGGGGTATATGAACATATGTCCGTGCATAAATGCCATATCCCTTGATTTCACCCCTTCTTTAGCTAATGTCTGACTACACCCATATGCATTGTCCTCAAAATTAATGAATGGAATAACAGAAAAGACCCAATGGCAAATCATGCATTTAATTTCATTATTTAAAAACTGTAAACGTGTGTTGCATTTCTTCCCCCTAACATTCCTAACTTGAATGAACACAATTCGAATACGATTGACAGTTGTTAATATAAATGATAGGAATGACGCCTCGATAAGTGACGATTAATTTGAATGCTAGTTGAGCAGTTTCTAAATTAAATGACAGATCAATGAAACCCTTCGACCAAAATCCTAAATTAAATACATAAACGGGAAAATTGAATGATAATTTGCATGGCAAAGCCGATCTGCGCCAATTTAAATGCAAAGTAAATGAATTCGAATGACAAACTCGCGAATTACGCCGGGAAATCCTATATCAAAAAAGATTAAATGGAAGGACCCTATGTAGTAGTAATATTTAAAACTATAAACAATCTCGCACGTAGATGGCGTAAATATTCTGAAGCGACTCGATAACAGCCCGCCTGATATTGCGCAATCCACTTCTAGGCGGGTATTTCCACGTCTATATGAAGTAGTCTTTGCAACACACAACTCCGGTCAACGTACCCTCTGAAGTTAAGACAATTGTTTTTGCTCATACAATATGACTATTCCGAGATGATTTAACTTAGCCTTTCGTTTAATAGCATTTTGTAAAGCTTTATTTGTCTAACAGACGTGTTTTTTGAGGAGCCCAAACAAATTAACCTGTTGGGTAAGATGACATTTTCAACTAATAAACCTACGGGCATAATGTACTTTTCTAATCTACTTTAAAAAAAATAGGTTTTGCTTGATCTCTAGTTTCGCTGCTTGTTTTGTATCCATTATTAGTATTGTTGTAATTATTTTTCCCTTGGCCCTCTCTTTTTGATTTACAACCTAAATAGAAATATCAGAGAATTACCAGCCATTATTTGTCACAGTACAAAGTCTGTGTTCACAGACTATTCATATTGGGGAATCCCCGTTATTTGGTTTGCGCTGTTAGCGGGGAAAAGTGACCAAGCGGAAGCTAGCAGCCTTTTTTAGCAGCCAAACTGATATCGATATCGCATACGGACGCTGTGTTGAACAATATGAACGCACTCCGTTTAGCTGCTAACCGTAGTCTCCGCAAGGAGACACGGACAGGAGTAGTCTTCGGTCTAGTCGTTGTTTTTCTCCTTAAATTTTAGGAGATAACAATTTGTTATTTTGAGAATTAAGATGGATAAAATGATTATTTTAAACCATTTAATATAAAAAATTTAAAATAATCACAACATTAAAGTAAGAAAAAAGCATAAGAAAGGTCCAAATTAACAAAAATTAGAAATATATTACCCTTCTGCTTATTATTATCATTATAATTATGTTTATCATTAGAATTTAAATTTATATCTTATTGGAGGGTCATCCCCCTCCTAGACACACACATAACACACACATATTATGTACACCAAATACATGTACCCTAACATACGAAGTATGCGTTATGCTTAGTTTGTCAACATTTGTTGATATTCGCTCAGATTAGACCTTTTTAATGTCGGCTGCTACAATTTGTGCACCTCGCATTCGATGAGGTATATAATAATCTACATTTCATGTGAGTTTCAGCTCATTTAAAGCAAATGGGAATTGGCGGCGAATGTATTACCCCTCCCCCCTTCCTATATGCTCTGAAAGATATTTGCGCTATTCGTTAAGGTTTGTTCTCGACATTGGTTTATATTCGCTCAAATTAGACCTTTTTAACGTCGGCTGCTACTATTTGTGCACCCCGCATTCGATGAGGTATATAATAATCTACATTTCATGTGAGTTTCAGTTCATTTAAAGCAAATTGGAATTGGCGGCGAATGTATTACCCCTCCCCCCTTCCTATATGCTCTGAAAGATATTTGCGCTATTCGTTAAGGTTTGTTCTCGACATTGGTTTATATTCGCTCAAATTAGACCTTTTTAACGTCGGCTGCTACTATTTGTGCACCCCGCATTCGATGAGGTATATAATAATCTACATTTCATGTGAGTTTCAGTTCATTTAAAGCAAATTGGAATTGGCGGCGAATGTATTACCCGCCCCCCCCCCCAACCTATATACTCTGAAAGGTATATGCGCTATTCGTTAAGGTTTGTTCTGGACATTGGTTGATATTCGCTCAAATTAGACCTTTTTAATGTCGGCTGCTACAATTCGTGCATCCCGTATTCGATGAGGTATATAATAATCTACATTTCATGTGAGTTTCAACTCATTTAAAGCAAATAGGAATTGGCGGCGAATGTATTACCCCCCCCCCCTTCTATATAGTTAAGGTTTAAGGTAATTTAAGGTAATTCGTTAAGGTTTGTTCTCGACATTGGTTGATATTCGCTCAAATTAGACCTTTTTAATGTCGGCTGCTACAATTCGTGCATCCCGTATTCGATGAGGTATATAATAATCTACATTTCATGTGAGTTTCAGCTCATTTAAAGCAAATGGGAATTGGCGGCGAATGTATTACCCCCCCCCCTTCTATATAGTCAACACGTTATATGCGCAATTCGTTAAGGTTTGTTCTCGACATTGGTTAATATTCGCTCAAATTAGACCTTTTTAATGTCAGCTGCTACAATTCGTGCATCCCGTAT